GATGGTTGCTCGGCTTTTTCGCTTCGAGTACAGTATTCAGGTGACCGTGTGAAAAGAGTGCCCTTTGTATCGCGGCTCGAAGGCTATCACAACTAGACATGCCTGGTCACAGTGACAGTCTCTAACTTCTGACTTGGTCAAAGTATTTAGGAAAACGGAAAGGACAACCAATAGGCAGAAAAGAATAATTTATTACAAGACTTGAGCCTGAAAGACTAGCAGGCACTGTCTCTAAGAGATTTTTCTCCCAGAGTTTCCTAATCCACTGTCAGCCCTGCAGAAGTCCTTTCACCCTCCACTGACGAGTCATCTCAAGTTCCATCAAGAAGTTTACGATTTACCTGGAGGTGCTGGTGTCAGCAACAGAGTCAGGGCCCTTAAATCAATCTCACATGACCGTACAATGTATGCAGTTTTACTTTGTGTCTGTTTTCTTATTATTCACTTCACTCAAGGTGTTCCTTCAGTTGAGTGAAATCAAACATGAAACTTGTATTATAACAGAGGATGCGCTTGCGGTTTTGGAAAGCCAGAACCTGTTGAGAGTATATGTTGAGTGTACAGGAACGATGTTGAGAGTGTAGATTCAGGTTAGGCTAAAACAATTTAAGCACCATTCAAACGGCAGACAGTGTACTGGGGTTTTAATTAAATTATTTTAATAACATGATTTATATTTAGTTATCACAAAAAGCTTGTGAGGTGACTGACGGACTTTCTTCCCCTGGCGAGGATGGGCTTTCTCAGCGCTGTGCATAACCACTGTGTGCTGTGGACTGAATGCTGGCTCAGGGACCCAGTGGCAAGAGGGGACCTGCTCCACGGAAGCTGTCATTTTCACAGGAGCAGCTAAACGGGCCTTTCTCCTACAGAGGCTCTGTGTGCATTTGAGCCACCAACAATTCCGTGCTCAGGCAAGGACTTTAGAATTGCACCCCATGGACTCGTTGGAGTTTATATAGCCAGTTGGAATCTTAGCTACTATTCATTTAGCTGTTCACCATGTACTAGACACTGAACAGCAAGCCCGTCTACATTGTTTTCTTTAATCCACAGAGCCACTCTAAGTGGTGATGGTTTTAAATCCAGAGGGACTTCCTCAATGTCACGCAGACAAAGGGGCTTGGGTAGTGTGCTCCTACAGGTGATGGAGCCAGAGCAGGTCTGGTGCTTTGTGTGTTTTCCTCTCGACATGGCGATGTGTTGCTACAGCACAGTGGCCATGGCTGCCTGTGGTGGCCGGTTGTTGTTCATGCTTGAATCCAAGGGCTTCACGTTCATGCGAGTACATATTCCCAATGGTGTAACTCCTGCTCATGTGTAAAGCAGAGGACCCCGGAGTGGCTCCTGGTGCCAGGTCGCTGTAGGGACAGCCTCAAACAATGTACATGCTAGTCCCTGTTCAGGCAGTATCCCAACACTGCCACGTGTATCTCACTTTTTCCTGATTCTAAGTCCTTCCTTATTCTTCCTCTTGATCTATTATTCAACAAAAGACTGTACAGTTAGAAGTAAGGTACCTGTGTAAGTACTTATTACTAACAACATTCATTCCTGCAGTTTCAGACAATCAGCTAAAATGTTGATACATGGGAAGAAGGAACAAGACATAACAATTCAAGTACCATCAGATGGCCAGCTTGTGGAAACTCCCTGAAACACATATGGAGCACAGGCTGGTCCAGTGATATTTAAATTGCAACTGGCCAGATTCATAAGCAAATTGGGTGTTTTTTTGGTTTTGCATTTTTCCTTCATGGGTCACTAAGCAAATGGCATCGAAAGAGTGCAACGTGTCCTGCTTTTCCATTGACCTTTCCAAAATCCTAATTAAGGATATTTCAAATTTCATATAAACAGATCATTGTACAATCGGGTGCCAAAATATTTGCACTGTATCTGGCTCCAAGTGTTGACTAATAGCTTCTGCACACCATCCTTTCACTTAGAATTTATCAGTGTCTTGTCCGTGAGCTCAAAGAAATGTACTTGTAATCTTACTTAGGGACTGGATTGGACTCTGACAATATGCATTCATGGAAGTGCTTTTTAAAATATTATCTTGAAGTATTTGTTTTAAAGTATCTGCTAATAAAATAAGCAGAAGCTGATGTTCTATGCTTTTTACTATCCTTCTGATACTGCTCCTTTGGGATGTTAAGAGCCAATGTGCTTCAATGGTTCTTCTCAAATAAAAAAGAAAAAAAAATTAGATGGAGGAACTGATATGTATCCACATCAATTTTCATAACTTTATTAAAGGTTCAGTTTGGAATCCTCATTTTAGCATGCTCCTGGTCTTTATTATCTGTCGTTTCATTTCCCAGAGAAGGAGCCTTGAATATCTCTCTCTCTCTCTCTCACACACACACACACACACACACACACACACACACACACACATCACCCTGTTATTCCTTGTTTTTCTATTAAAAAAAGGTTTTGCATAGGTCGTGGCAGGAGTCTCAGAAAATAGTATTAGAGAAACTAACTCCGGAAGAGCAACTGAGCTTGTGGGTTCACCCAGGCTGTGTTTTTTCAAACAAAAGCTCGGTCAAGTCAGGAATCTCAGCTCACCGTGATTCACATCATTTAGCATCACAGTTCCCGTGTCATTGAAATCTGTGACCCCCATAAATCACCTCAATTTTGAAGATAGCATGCTGCACAAGAGGAAGAAGCTGAAGGGGGGGGGGGGGTTGGTGCCAATTTTACTTGTGATTGACTCTGTAATTCTGTGCAGGCATCCCAACATCTCCTGCTTCAGGCTCCTTCAAATCAGTATAAAAGTATATCTATTCTATGCTCTTCCCCTGTGGTGTAGTGGTTATGTGTCCGGCTTTGATCCCTAAGGTCAGTAGTTTGAAACCACCAGCTGCTCTGTGGAACAAAAATGGACCTTTCTACTCCCATAATAAGCTATCATCTCAGAGACTCACAGGGGCAGTTCCACCCTGCCCTGCAGGGTCACTGTGTGTCAGTATCGACTTAGTGCTAGTGACTTTGGGGGGCTGGGGGTGGGGTGGACTGTTATGTGCTCTTATGGAATCCTGGTGGTGCTGCAGGATAGGGACTGAATTGCTAGCCACAAGATCAGTGGTTCAAACCCACCACGGTCTGAAGATTTATAGCCGTGGAAACCCTAAGGGGGCTGGGTTGAGTCAGAATTGACCCCAAAACACAGGACTCTTTTTTCAGTAATAGTCGTCAATAAACCAATGGCATAATGTACAGAAATGAGTTTTAAGCTCTGTAGAATGAATACGAATAAAAACCTACGTGTGCTGGTAATCATGGACTAGCTGCTTCTTCCTTTTGAGGAATAGATTTTTGTTTGGTTTCGTTGTTTGGAACAAGCATCCGTCAGACTACTTTGATTCTCTCTGACCTGTCATCAAGCAGAGACTAAGCACACAGCAGTTCCCACCTGTGCTGTGTGTACTGCAGAACAAGGGGAGCCCGGGGAGCCACTAGCTTTACATTAATACTATTTTAATCCAGATGCTTCCAAGACTGAAACATTCTAAAACTGAGGAAAACTGGTGCCCAAGCTAAATACTTTTCCTTTTATAATTTTTAAGCTTACTTGTACTTAAATGTGTTCCTCGCTTATTCTTTTGCCTCCTCTGCTCTCACTCATTTTAGTTATGAAATATCTCCTATCCTAGACCGGCAGTACATATAGGTTTTTAAGGCTCGATTAAGTGACAGGCTCTGGGCAGGTTCCGGGGAAAAGCAGTGAAAAAGCTATGTCCCTTCTAATCATCCCTCACAAATCCTGTATTCTGAATTCCAACAGCTGCATAGTGTGTTTGGTTCTGTTGTAAGATGCATAGCACTTGAACTGTAGCAGATCAAGAGGGCAGGTTGGGGCTTCAGGAACGGGATTAGGGAATGAGTGAGGTTGGGTAGGAGAGCCCAAACAGTAATTAAAAATCTGAATGTTTCCTGGAAGAACCCCCAATAAAATGATCTTTAAAAACAAACAAACAGCTGAATGTTTAAGTGAACCATGTGATCCTCAAAAATATCAGATTGAGTAGTCTTATTTCACAATTTCTTATAAACTATAGATATTTTCTGGGTAGAAATTGTATAATAAAACTTCACAAAATAGGACTAAGACTTAACTGGTAAGAGAAAATGCCTAAATTATAGAATGTTTTCTATTTGTTTTAAAATCTCAGGCTCATTAAAGAAAATCTAGTGAAGTATTTTCAAGAAAACAATTGATTTAATAAGTTACAGTGACATCTTAAATCCACAAATTATGCCAAATTATTTGAGTAATTCTTTCTCAATAGATAAAATAATCATCCTTTTTATATTTATATTGTCTATATAGTACTTTTATGTTATTACACATATTGCAAAGAAAAATTGTGTACATATTTGTTCTCATAGGCAGTGTAAAGCAAATTACAAATCCGGTAGCTCTGCTTTGTGAAATGAAGCCAGGGATCAACTTAATTCAATTATTAACAGTCCAAATATATTGAGTTCCTTTTTGAAACTGGAAAATCTTGTTTTGTTGTGTTTTTGAAACTCGGAGATAAATTTTAATCTCACTAATATTTTGTATTCTCCTTTGTCATATTAGTGTGCAATAGATAAAATATGTTCAAATATTTCATGATTTTATCTTGGTGAAAGATAAATACAATAATAATAACTGTACCATGAATGAATTCCTGCTATTGAAGACATTTTGATGACTAGTTCTGCTGCATTTTTAGACACCTACTTAAAGGAGCCCTGGGAGGGATGTAAAATAGGCATTGCACTACGAACTACATGGTTAGTGGTTCAAAGTCACCAGGTGCTCTAGAGAAGAAGAATGAGGTTTGTTGCTCCTGGAAAGATTTACAAAGTCTTAGAATTCCTAAGCAGTCACGATGAGTCAGAATCGACCTGATGACAGTGAGTGGGTACTTAAATATTTAGATAGTTTCTATTCTGTTAGTTTCTATTTTACAGTCAAAATTATCTTGTTTTTACAGTTAATATCTCAATAGCTAATGATACCACGCCGGCCCTGGACAGTTTACCAACTGTTTCTTCTACTGATATGGTAAGTGATTTTATGTTTCAAGCCACCTGTAGCCTGTGTATTATAATTTTAACACTCATAATATGATGCATTCTACTACCTAGCCGCACTGGCATAGCATGTGTTTTAAAATAATTGACAGACACGGACAGAAAACAAATTAATTTTTTCCCTTTGTTCTAGTCAGGTATTATTGCCCATTTTTAATTAAAATAAAGCAAATAATACAACATGAAATACTTTTTAGGAATTTACCTCCTGTGTTCTATTAACCATGATCCTTAAATATTCTCACAATGGGAAGTGGGAGATGTTGGAAATAGAGCAGCTGCCCTCCCTGCTCCCAGTACAGTTAGGGCTTCTGCTGACTCACCTCAGGGTGCTGTGTGCTCTTCATGAAGGGACATTGTCAGGTCACTTGGAAAGGACCCCTTCCCATGGCTTGTACCCAGGGATCTGTAGGAGACCGGAACTCTAAAAATGAACTGTTTGAATGGCAAGTCTCATGCTGGAAGGAAACTTTGTGTTGAAGAAAAAGAAGCAAGGACTGTTTCAGACTTCCAATTGTGCTGACTCTACACTAATGGGGAATCTTACCAAAGAACAGCAATCTCTCCGTTTTAAAGGCAGAAACCATAGCACCTTGTATTGATAGAGTGCCCATCTCTCAGGAGACCAGAACACTTCTGCAGATAGGATGTGATGAGTGCCCCCCCAATCCTTTTTAAAGATGATGTGTGTATCTCTCCTGGGCAACTCGAACTTGCCCATTTCTCTTTTGTTTTCACATTTCAGGCTCTCTTCTCTTCCTCCCAACCAGACCTTCCTCTGACCTTCCTCAAGTCTATTTCTTCCACTTGTTTGTGTATTTTAAGAGAGTACATGCATGTAGGTGTGTGTTTAAGAGGGTAGATGTGTTTTAAAAGCCACATATTTTAAAGAGTTCCATTTTTAATGTTTCAGCCAGATTGCTTTTTGCCTACTAGGACTCGCTCAGATTCAGTAGAAAATGAACTCCTTTTAGTTAAATTCAGCATAAAAAAATAAACCAGGAAAACCATATGTTAATTTATAATAAAAATTACTGAAACACATTTACTTATTTAAAAAGGGATTGTTTCCTAGTTTAATTCTTTTAGCTACTAATCAACGAAAGCTTTAAAATTAATGAATTTTTAAGCACTATATTTAGGCAAGTTCTGGAAGAGATTTCAGTAATGGATATGTAATTATGCATATCAATTATAAGATATAAGAGCATTCTGTCACAATAAAAATCATGAAAAACCAATGGAAGTTCTGGTTGACTTCTAATAAAACAAAGGACATAGAGACACAATTATTATAATTTAGCCACTACTCCCGGAGCATCTCCTAGAGAGCATCTGTTTTATGGATATTATAATCATTATCATCCACTTTGAATTATGGTGCTGGTGAAATACTGAAAATACCATGGACTTCCAGTAGAACAAACATCTCTGCCTTGGAAGAAATACAGCCCGGGTGCTCCTTAGAATCAAGGACGGTGAGATTTCATTTCATGTACTCTGGGCATGTTATCGGGACAGACCAGTCCTGGAAAAGGACGTCATGGCATGTTAAATTGAAGGTCAGCAAAAAAGGAAGACACTCAAAGAGGTGACTGGGTGGTGGCTGCAGCAGTGGATCCCACCGTAATAACAGCTGTGAGGATGTGCCGGGAACGGGCAGTGTTTCACTGTTGTACAAAGGGTCGCTGAGTCAGAATGGACTTAAGGGCACAGAGCAAGAACAGCCCCCCCCCCATTTATTTATGTATTTATTTTCTGTACTTTTATTGGGGGCTCTTACACCTCTTATCCCAATCTCGACATTCCTCCAGTGTGTCAAGCACCTTTGACATATGCCGCCATCATCATTTTCAAAGCATTCTCTTCCCACTTGAACCCGTGATATCAGTTCCCCATTTCCTACTCCCACATTCCCCCGCCCGCCCTCCCCCATGAGCCCTTGATAAGTTATAGATTATTATTTTCATATCTTACATCGTCTTCCATTGGCCCTCACCCACTTTTCCATTATTCGTCCCCCTGGGAGGGGGTTCTAGATTGATCCTTGTGATCGATCTCCCCTTTCTCGCACCACCCTCCCCTAATTCTCCTGGTATCTTTACTCTCATTGTTGGCCTTGAGGGGTTTATCTATCCTGGATTCCCTGTGTGGCGGGCTCTTATCTGTAGCAGTGTGCACGTTCTGGTCTAATTCGATTTGTAAGGTAGTATTGATGTCATGATAGTGGGGGGAAGGAAGCATCAAAGAACTAGAAGAAAGTTGTGTGTTTCATCGGTGCTATCCAGCACCCTGCATGGCTAGTATCTCTTCCCTGTGACCCCTTTGAGGGAATGTCCAATTGTCTACAGATGGGCATAGGGTCTCCAATCCATGCTGCCCCCACCCCCACCCCATTCACATATGATTTTGTTCTGGGTCTTAGATGCCTGATACCTAATCCCATGGACACCTCATGATCACACAAGCTGGTGTGCTTCTTCCATGTGGGCTTTGTTGCTTCTGAGCTAGATGGCCGCTTGTTTATTTTAAAGCCTTTAATACCCCAGATGCTGTATCTTTTGATAGTCGGGCACCATCATCTTGCTTCATCACATTTACTTATGCACCCATTTTGTCTTCAGCAATTGTCTGGAAGGTGAGCGTCACAGAGTGCCGGAGTGTTAGAACAAAGTGTTCTTGTGTTGAGAGAGTACTTGAGTCGAGGTCCAATGTCCATCTGCAGCCTTAATATATAGATATGAGAACAGCGTCATTTTTAATATATATTCATTAACAAAACCTACCATACATATTTAGGGAGTTATTGGGCATAGTACTTAAGTGCTCAACTGCTCACTAAAAGGTTGGCCATTTGAATCCACCAGCTACTCCATTGAAAAAAAGACTTGACAGTGTGCTTCCTTAAAGATTTCCAAAGATTTGGAAATTCTATGGGGAAGTTCTACTCTGTCCTATAGAGCCATTATGAGTTATAGTCGAATAAACAGTAACAAGTTTGGCTTGGATTTTAATTTACCATGGACATTTACCTTATTTTTATCGATGAGAAAAACTGAAGCTCCGAGCGGTAAATGACCTTTCTTATCAGGCCATACAGCCATATATTAGTAGAGCAAAGCTATGAACCGAAGTCTGGTGTCCTCCTAGACCTATGCTTTGTGTCGAAATTTATGATTCCTCGGTTTTTAGGAATCCTTTGTACTCCAGTACAACAGTCCTATCATGGATGCACTAATAACGCACCTTACTTAAAGGTTAAAGTGCCATCTTCAGCATTTCTAAGGAAAGAATATATATACATATATGCATGCACTCACATAGATATATAAATGTTTATGTGTTTCTATTACATGTATGTGTGTATATATGTGTGTGTGTATACATATATTTGTGTATGTTTTATTGTTCAGTGTCATCAGTAAAATAAAACTCTGCCTTCTGTATCATCCTCACAATTGTTATGTTTGAGTCCATTGTTACATCTATTGTGTCAACCCTTCCGGTTGAGAATGTACTTTACCAAGCATGATACATGTGGTGTGTGTTAGAAATATGTATGTATTTATGAAGGGGTGACTTTTATTTAATTTTTCTTATCTTTTGTACATATCTATGTTTATATGTATATTTTACATATGCGGTTAGATGATTTGGAAATGAGCATGAAAGCGGTAATATGGTTTATTACCCTCGATAAGAAGTACCCTTTACTGAGTACTTACTGGGTGTCATGCTCCTTGTATGGTCTAACTCTCATTGAAATGGTGTGTGACTTTGATGTTACCTCTATTTTATAGTTGAAATAGAATCCTAAAAAGTTTAATAAACCAATAGATAATAAAGCCAAGATTTGAACTTGGGACTTTGTAACTCCAAAGGCTGCCCAGTTTTCATCCTTGGGGGATTGAAGTAGCCTACTGCTGTTAAAGATACGGAGCTGTGGTATCAGACTGCCTTGTTTCAAACTCACGGTTCCACTACTATTCAAGCCTTCTCAGTTCCCCAACTGAAACTAGTGGTAAAACGCCGACTTCATCTGGGCCACGGTGTCAGGTTAAAAGAAGGAAGGATTTAGCACAGGGGCTGCAAGATTGTCATTACGCACTGTTGTTCTTTGTTGAGGTATTATCTTTCTACCAGGACACCGTGCCTTCATAACACAGACGATGCAGAGAGAGAAGAAACTGGAAGCCACTGCTTCACTTGTGATAGACCACTGAGTCCTCTGTCTATTTGGCCACGCCAGTCCTGTTACCTGGCCCCTTCCCTGGGGGTGCAGTCATCCAGGCTTAATCGGCTTTTTCATTTGAGCCAAAATTAGATCGTGGGATAGGGTGCTGTAAGGGTGGCATGCAGACATTGGGCACCTGTCAAGCTTTTTTTTCTCACCTGGCCCTGAGAATATCCTCTCAGAAAAAGAAACAACTTGATTTTTCATTAGCTCGAAGGTAAGCTTTCTTGTTCCTGGTGGTAGGGTTTCTTTCTATGTGGAGAAAACGGGACAATCTGAGGCTTCGAGCATGTAAGCAAAGTTTCTGTCGTTGATTCTGACTCATAGTGATCCCATGTGTTACAGAGGAGGACAGAGTAGAGATGGGGTTTTCAATGACTGACCTTTCAGAAGAGCTTGTCAGGCCTGGTCTCTCTTCCTTGGTGCCCGAGTGGGTTTGATCTGCCAGCTGTACAGCTAGAAGTGGAGCACTGAATTGCTGAGACCACGTAAAGACTCCAGGCAGAGATGTAAACTCTGGAATAGCCTTACTTTAAAATAAACTGGCAGCGTGTTATTATTCATTATTAGAATCGTAGTGTCTTTATCTCTTTCACCCCTGCCAGGTTTTCCATAGAATATACACTTGCTTTATTCCTTCATCACGTGTGCAGAATTCCTTGGAGGTCCTTGTGTAACTTTATGACAGGCCACTGTTGGTGGGTAAATGTGGGCTGGGTCTGTGCCCGTGATGCCAG